GGTTTGGAAAGTTTTCTTGCAGGATTTCATGGGATAGATTATCAATGCCCTTATGATTTTCTTTGCCTTCTGGGATGCCAGTTATCCGGATGTTTGGATATTTGATGGTATCTAGTATTTCTCATACATTATTCTCATTTTTATGGTCAGTTTTCTCAGTCTTTGAGTTGAATTTTTCTAGGCCAGCAATTTTCTTTTCTACATCTGAGATTCTACTTTCTGTATGATCTAGTCTGCTTTTAATACTTTCAGGGGAGATTTTGATTTCCTCTTTGATAGCCTTCATCTCTAACAATTCTATTTGATTCATTTTTAAAGTGTGTAATTCCTCTTTTAGATCTTCCAAGAATTTCCTCCCCTCCTGGAACTGGTCAGCTCCTTTCTCATGCCTCTTCCGCAGTTCATTGTCTCTCTTCTCTTTCATCTCTGTTAGCTTCGTCATTATGAATATTCTAAATTCTTTATCAGACATTTCCATTGAAGTGTCTGTGGATGAAGAGGAGTTATTCTTTTCTCTTGGAGGAGAGGTATTTTCTTGCTTTCCCATAGTTCCTGTGGCCCTGCGGTGATTTCTAGTCATCTAATAGATGGTGTGTTTCTTTGTAATTCTTGGAGTTAAATCTGAGTGTTCAGGAGCATGCAGAAGGAGGTGATCTAGAATCTCTTTGCCATTCTGTTTTTATCCCTTTGTGCAGCAGATTCACTGGATATTGAGGATTATGTTAACCCTAGTAGTAGTTGGATGTCTGGCTATAGTTCCTTTAGATCCGTCTAGACACACAGTGAATGGAGATTGAGGAGTAGAGTGATGAGATAAAAGAAAAAGAAAAGGAAAGAGAGAGAGAGAGAGAGAGAGAGAGAGAGAGGAGAGAAACAACAAAGAAACAAAGAAACAGAGAAAAAGAAGAAAAAATAGTTAAAAACAACCAAAAAATTTATTTATTATTTTTTAATAAAGCAAAAAATAAAAAAAAAAACATGTGGTGCAAAATCACTAGTTCTCAGAAGCCATGGAGGAATCTTTTTCTGAAGGCCTGCCCCTTGCTTCTCCTGGATATGGGAGGGGAAAAGGGGATTATTAGCAAGATAAAGGTGGGGCTGAAAGCCAAGAGAATACTTCACCTTAAAAAATTTTAAAAAGGAAAAATTACAACAAATTGAGAAGACAGAGATAGAGGCAGAAAGAGACAGAGACAGAGACAGAGAGAAGGCTAGAGGGGCTCCCTACCACTCGAGTCTGTGGCCTGGAGGCTGACTTATCTGTAGAAAGTCTTCATTTCTCGGGACCAGCAGCTTG